CTTCGCACCATTGGCCGCTCGACCAGGCACATGTACCAAATGTCTGAACCTGTAGTCCCTCTCGTACTAAAGAGGATTACCATTGCAACAACCAGATTGTACTTCACTGTTTACACAGTTAAACCATCAGTAGGGTAAAACTAACCTGTCTCACGACGGTCTACTATGCGTGAGGATACCCTCCCCGGGGATGATGCCAAATGTAATTGGGCTCTGCACAAGACCTTTATGGCATTACGTTCAGTGAAAATATCAACCGCTCTCATTGACTAATTAAACATTCATTGTATAGCTGGTTGCTTCGGTTGTGCATGTAAATTAGAAGGGGGTTTTATCATTATTCAACAGTTTTTCAAAAAAAGTAAATTCAGCAACAACCGCAAGCTGTACGCTATGGAGGGTCTCAAAGAACCTCAACCACTGGTTAACCGTTTTGCTGTTGAAATACAGCCTTAAGAGTTCCTTTGATGGGAGTACGCTCGCTGTTAAGAGGAGCTTCTTCAAATTGTTTTGTCTTTGTAGATTCCCGATCACTGGAATCCCAAGGATGGAATCATTCGAGTGGGCGTTAAGCCAGCCTGTGAGCTTTTTCCCTCCCAACTGATGGATCGAGTCAGCGAGGAGACCAAAATTCGTTGCTGGGATCCACATATGAAAAGGACTTCAGTTCGAGTAAAGGAGGCCCTCACAAATTGCCAGTATAATCTGGCAGCCCAGTGCGCTACTAGCAAAAGGGCGGCAGCCAGCACGACAACCGGTCAGTGTTACTTGTGCACCTTCATTGCAGAAAAGATTTCCTTGACTGAAGCCCTCAAAACAAGATTTGAAAGGCGTGTTTTTAATAATTCGTACTGTATAATGTGTCCAGGGAAACGTAACCACTTTGATGAATTAATAGTCACAACGAATACCCATCTGTAGTCATTGTAAATTTACCCAATTGGACACGGTAGCTCCTAAAATCTCATCAGTCGCACCCTCGCATAGACTTTGGTTGACTGACGGAACCTGTTAAGGGTTTGCCGGAGGCTATCACCACCCGGCAAAGTTAGGTAGAATCCGGCATATCTGGTATCAGCCATGTTGTAGCACGCGTAGAAGGAAGCCTTATGTCAGGTTAGCCGCTGCACCAGCGTTTATCACCAGTTATTTTCTTATTCCACAATTGGAACATGGTTAGACTGGCAATTAAGAGTGAGACCGATACTGCACGAATTCTTTCGAGTAAGGCATCGCTAAACTCTGGGAAAAGTGGAGCTGGCTTGTTCAAATGCTAGCTAACGGTCACGTTTTTTCCCTAAGAATGCAACTCGGTCGGATGATTAATCCTTTGATAAAATATTCCAGGAGAGTAATAAAGAAATAACAATAATAATTAACCTCCATGTGCTGCATTACATTGCAACTCGAATGGATATCTTTGGAAAATTTACAAGGAAGTCCAACGAATTCGGGAAGCTCCATTCAATAGCCATTACTGACAGCCTAATACGTTTTGCACCTTAGATTATAGAAAGTCTTGTATCCTGAGAGCTTTCTGGAATTCCCTCTTCGACTGTTCTGTCGACTTCTGTTACCACCTGAGACCGTCTGCTTAAAATTTTTGTACTTTTCCACACCAAGTGGCTGTCCTTTTCAATCAAATCGGATTAGTGTTCGGGCCTAAAAAGGGCGAACCTTGTGAGTCGAAAAGATTCGACATCTTTTATCTAGTTACCCTGGCGAACACGGTCATGCTTACGTAGGTCAACGATTTAGATTATTTCACGGTAAACCAATTGTCGC